GGTATTTGGAAGTATACTTATTCGGGATTCAATCTTAAGCATATGTGGGAAATAGGCATAAAATACTAATATAATTCAGGCTTAACTTTATCAGCGTGCGATAGAAGCAAGATGGAACTTAGCAAAACAACATGCCTCGCCAATCTCATGATACTTCACCAATAGTGTATACTGGAGACAAGCTAAGCTTTATGATGATTGCTGTGAATTTGAAGGTGTTCAGATATCACAAATAAAAAGCAGAATTTTATAATTAATGAAATCTTTGAAGAAATGTGGAAAAGTGGTAATAAATGCAGATACTATAACAGACATTTTTCATTCCAATGTCAATGCTGTAATAATCAGTCAACAAATGGACAATGAAATTTGTACTATGGCTTTAAATCCAGAAAATATCACTGCCAATAGTGAAGAAAGTGACAGAGTTTTTTTGGTAAATTTTGGTACCCTTAATGTCATAAACACTTCATTATTCCATAAATCACTGTTTCATGTTTTTCATTGTATAATTCATACATGTCATTTTTCTAGATTTAAACTAATGATAATGTCCTGAAAAATACCATATCTGGAATTATTAAAGTCCTTATGGGGATTCATATCTCAGACTTACTATTATTATATTATTTATTGATAATTATTGCAATCACATTTATAAAAATTTTCACATGACAGTGACAAGCTGAGACTTTCTCATAATGAAACTAATTATGAAGAAATACTCTTCCATAGTTAGAAGATTTTGGTTCCTGTGGAATTCTGTGCTACACTTCTATCTGCAACTCTTATAATAAAACATTTTTCAGTCTCTCTTCTTTATTCACTAAGTAGCCACCTGCTGTGGAAGTATTTAACCTACTACATTTTTAAAATAAAAAAGCTAAAAGGCTTTTGCAATTTTTGCTATTTTTGGTGCTATTCTGTTATTGGGACCAAATTCAGAAATGCATGAATGTGTACTTGTGTGTATGTTCATATATGATGTGTATATGTATACATACACATACATTCATATATATACAAGGTCCGGCTATTAATTTCCAGGACTGATGTAACTGTAGGAGAACGAACAGTCGGAAGATGGCGTTAATGATTGCATATTGAAGAGCGTTTTCTTGCGCATGTGCAGTGCAATCGGTGCCATTCTGAAGTGAGTGGTTCTCTTAGAAAGGAACATTAAAACATAGCTCTTAAATTTCTATTGTTAAATTGAAAATGGAGCAAAGAATTAACATTCAATTTTGCTTCAAATTGGGCAAGACAGCAGCGGAAACCTTCAAAATGTTAAAACAAGTTTACGGCGAGGAAGCATTATCCTGCTGAAGAACTTTTGAATGGTTTAAATGCTTTCAGGACGGGCGCAAAAGCGTTGAAGATGATCCACACACAAGTCGGCCGCAGTCCGTACGCACGGCTGAAGCAATTGAAAAAATTCGCAATGTGGTGAAATGTGATCGTCGATTGACTATTCGAGTACTTGCGAATAAATTCGACTTGGACAATGAGACGGTTTGGCAAATTTTGATGCAAGACCTAGGCAAACGCAAGATTTGTTCCAGATTCGTTCCTCACCATTTAATAGACAAACAAAAAGCAATTGAGACTGGACGCATGTGGTGAACTTATCGACAGAGCTGATGCTGACCCTGCATTCCTGGATAGGATAGTCGCAGGAGGTGAGTCTTGGTGTTATCAATATGAGCCTGAAACCAAGCGTCAAAGCTCCGAATGGCGGTCTTTAAGTTCACCAAGGCAGAAAAAATTTTGACTTGAAAAGTCCAAAATCAAGGTCATATTAATCGCTTTCTTCGATTGCGGTGGACTCATTCATCATGAATTTCTTCCTCCTAACATGACTATCAATGGATAGTTCTACACAGAAGTTTCTGAGGTGAAAACGAATTCGTAGAGTGAGGCCTCATTTTCAACAAAATGGGAGTTGGCTGCTGTTACGTGGCAATGCCCGCCCACACATTGCATTGCCTGTGAGGCAATTCTTAGCCCATCATGGTGTCGTTGGAATGCAGCATCCACCATACTCTCCAGACCTAGCACCTGCAGACGTTTTCCTGTTTCCTAAGCTGAAAAATTCGCTGAAGGGACAAAATTTCAAAATGTCGAAGCCATCAAGAAAACTGTAACGTCACTATTAAAGAGCGTTCCAAAAGAGGACTTAAAAACTTCTTTCCGAAATTTGTACAGCCGAGCACAGACATGCATTACAGCTGATGGGGATTACTTTGATTGAATCATATTAAATGGCTGTGTGTTTAATTTTTTTTTTTTTTTTTCCCTTCTGAGTTATTCCATGAGTCCTGGAAATTAATAGCCAGACCTTGTATTTCTGGATCCGGTCCTGATAACACAACAGTAGCATATTTTGTTATCTCCTCTGATTTTACTGGAAGCTCTGTTTAGATCACTATGAGTGTTATTGTTTTGTCAGCTGTTCTTTCCCCATTCAAAATGTTAATTCTCTCTACTAACCAATGGGCTCAGGCTTGAATCCTGCAGGATCCATATTTGTAAGCGTGTAGTGTCTGTGTGTCAAGGCAGGGATTCATAATTCAGGGTGAGTTGAAAGTCCTCTCGAGAGGTTGATCATGGAGAAAAAGGGGTGGAGACCCTCAAATCACTTCCTGAGGTGCTCTTCAATATTAGGATGAAATTACATAATTAGTGTAGTAAAACTAGTTTAATTGGTAGTTGAGTAAATTTAAATTCTGGTTGTCCTGGCTACTTCTGCCTGTGCCTATGATGTTCAAGAGTGCAGTCACAAATGGGGTTCTACAGCCCTCAAATTCATGTTCTTCAAAATGCAAGAATTAAATTCAGCAATAACAATTAATTTATATTCTTGTTCAATAAAAACAAAAGATGTCTTACCAAAAATCAATCAAGTTTACATCAAACAAAAGCATGGATGTTATGTGTCAAATTGTGCTGCTTGGCAACAGTTTCATGTTAGATAGTATAATACATAAGTATGATCTGTTATTTGTGAATTGTGAAGATCAAATGCAGAGGGGGAAACAAATGGATCAAACTAAATAAAGTTTTTAATCTGGTAGATGCTGTATGTCCCAATATTGAGATTAACGTTGTTATGTTTATTTGAGATGCTATTATCTGGAGATGTGCGGCTAAAGGAAGAAGGGTAGAAGCTGGGTAGTTGTTTGTATTGAGGATGTCAGTGTCTCTCTACATATACCCTCATTATGTGCATTATCTTTCTGGTGATACAATACTTCCAAAGTTTACCTGAAGGTTAGCAGAGTTTCCCGTAGCACAATACATACAGGATTCTGAGCATCAGTAAGGTCTTCGGTGTGAACAAGACTTTGGTGGAAACTGTGACAATACCAAGGAATGAGGATGACAATCACAAAAGCTTATTCCTCACCATGCTGCTTCTTAGATAAGCATGGTGTTTCGGTAGGTATTGACTTTTATCTGCTTCCACCTCTGAATCCATCATATCAGCACACATACATTCAAATGGGCTTATGGATTTTGATGCTATATAAGTTTTTTTCTTCTTCTTTTTTTGTCTGTTTGTTGCTGCTTAGTTTTCTGTATAACTCAATTTGAGTAGTAGGGAATGTCTGGGTTCCAGTAGATTGAAAAGACTTGGAAGCATCAACATAAGAAACATTGGGATGAGGGTAAATGCCACCCGTTATTTTCTTTGCTTCAGCTTAGGATATGTTTCTGGTGACTTTTATATTCTGCATTTCTGTTTTTCTTTTCCATTTGTTACAAGATCTAAAAATTGTTAGATGCTCTTCCTCACAATTGCTGCAAAACATTGTGTTTTTGCAACTTTCAGTGTCATGGCTCACCTCTGAGCATCTAGCACAGGTGAGATTGCCATGACAGGAGAATTTAGAATGCCTCTATTGCTGATTTTGGAAACTATGCATCAGATTGGGTATCTATTGTCTCACTGGATAATTTGATTTCATGGATTAGAGGAAAACTGTAGCATTAAACATCAATATAATTTCTCGTGTTTATTCATTCCTCGACATATCTTAAGTCTGTATATCCAGCGTACATGTTAGTCTTTCAATTCGGTAATAATTTCTTTTTTGAAAAAGTCTAATTTTGATATGATGCCTCATGAGAAAATTAACATTTTATGAAATGTGGCATTCACTTTTATATTTCTAGGTTTGTTAGCTTGGAAAGTGCAGCTGTCTGTCTGGGAGATTTGGTCTGTATAAGTAGATCACCATGAACTGCATGAACATTGCTGCATGAACATTTTAAAAATGATACTTTTCTGTTAAAGTCACTACACTTAGCTGATTTTTTTTCACATTGATATTTGCATGTTTTGTTTACTTATGACATAGAATGTAGGAATATCTGCTAGAGGAGAGGGATGTTTCTGTAGAGAACTTTTTGAAGAAAATTGATTAATATTCATGTGTATAACATGGGGAAACTGTAAAAATGTTCTTGCAGTCTCTCTGTACATTAGGATTCAAACATGAGTTGAACTACATACATGAGAAATAAGGTATTAGAGATCTGAAAGCTTAAGAATTAATGTCTAGTTTTTTTTGTGAATGAGGCAAGAAGCAAGATAATTAATTTTGCTTCATGCCTCATTTGCTTGAATTTTCCATATTTGCATATTCTGTGGGTAAACAGAGATGCAGGGAAGTCTTTTCAACTTAGTTTTTCTAAGGTAAGATGAACATTTTTGTGGAATTTTTGACAATTGTGTTTAAATATCCTTTTCTAAGGTTAACCTTTAATTTTGTACTTATGTATATTTCTTTTCTAAGGCATACATTTTAATATAGAGCTATTAATACTCTAAAAAATATAATTTTTCCCACCATTCTACTGTTTATGAATATGTGATAATAGATCCTACATATGATCTTATGTATGATAAGTATAGTATATATTGCTAATTGTAGAATAGTTAATCAGATTTTCTGTTTTATCAGCTTGTTATGCTTTTTTCTTTAATTTCTTATTAGGCACTTGGTTACTACTGTGGCCATGTTACTGGAGTTTATCCCTTGCTGCTGCTCCAGGTTGTTTACCAGATCCTTCTTTACTTGCTTTGTTTGGAATTGGTGCCTTTTTGATGAGAGGCGCTGGCTGTACAATCAATGATTTGTGGGACAAAGATATAGATGCCAAAGTTAGTTTTGTCCTTTAAATATTTTTATTAATTTTACTTTTTTTATTTAGATTTCTTTGTATAATTTTTTAAACTATTAGTTATATGAATTGAATTTTTTTAAAATTTTTTTATTATTATTTAATTTTCTGGGAGTTAAAATGCAATGAACCATCACTAAGACAACCTCCTAAGATTCCAGATAATTTTCATCTTCTGTCAATATAATTGTTGTATAGGTAATGATTGTCAATTTACATATGGATTTATACTATTCAAGATTTCTATTGTTCAATAATAAAATGTTTTAAAGTGCATCTCTAGTATTATTAATACTGTTATATTAATAAAATTATTAACTAATTTTCAGAGAGGAAAGGCAAATAATTTAGCAGATGAATTCATACTTAGGAATAAAATATTTGGTGCTTTTCCGTTTCGCCGGCGCAAATCTCGCCAAGCAGACTTTATTGGCGATAACACACAGTATAGACATAGAAAATGTTAACAAATGTTAGTTCTAAGAATGTTTTATTTTGAAGGCATGAACATTTTAACATTGTTTAAAATTTTGTAAGAAGCTAATAAATAAAGACAGTAAATTTGTAAAAGGATATTAATTTTAAGAACTTACTGTGCTGTCATGGCTCAACATCCTGATTCGCCGGTTCACATCACGTGACCCCCAAGTGATCTCATCTCACGTAAATTACGCTACAAAAATCTATTTCTCTCGGTAATTATCTATATTAATTTGAAGTTAAATCTTAATTTGGAATACAAGTTTAAATGGATTATTTCAGTTCGTACAAATAGCTTACTCAGAAATATGTAAAACCACAGTCCTTTACTTCGCTAGTGCATTCTCATTAGAATTGATGCATTTAATCCTTGACTTTGCCCTTTCTATATTTTAGCCTTCGGGTGAGCGGTGTGATTGCATCCTAATTGACTTATTTATCGCGAATGGCCTTAGGGCATAAAATTGAACTATCTGGTAAAAATTCTATGTAATTATATGCCAGTATTGAAAGAAACAACCAGTCTGATAAGAAACGACTGCTACTTGTTTTGAAAATGAGGCGTAAAAGGTTACCAGCGAGGATATTCCATTTGGCACCAGTTGTACCATTATTGGCAACTTTATCGCCTGCGCCGGCAAAACAGAAAAGTACCAAATATTTTACTTTGAGCTACATGATGCTTTAAATATTGAAAACAGGCTTTACACACAATAGAATAGTTTTTATTAGGAAGTTTGTCATGAAGACATATGCTCTAGGATAGGTAGTTCTAACTGCAGTTATTCTCACAATAACTAACTAAACCAATAATCATAAATGGGGAATTTCTGTTGAAACTGTTTTCATGTTGTTGTCGTATAATATCTGCTGATACATTTCTTAGGAGCTGTCTATCTGCAGGTAGTCAGGTATTTTCTGTATGCAATGTTACTATTTTTTTGGCAATCTTGTGTTTGTAATCAACGTCAAGTTCACCAATCTGTTGACTGGTTTTAAAAATAAAATTTCCAGTTCTGAATTTCTGAAACTAAAATATTAGCTCTTCCTTTTGACGTCATTCTTAGATATTGCCTTTTTTTTTTTTTTTTTTTTTTTATTTTGATTGTAGGTTTTACGAACCAAACAGCGTCCTTTAGCAAGCGGAGACATAAGTGTTTTAGATGCATGGATGTTTCTTGGTGGACAGTTGTCACTTGCTCTTCTTGTCTTGCTCCAGCTTAATTGGTACAGGTATGTTGCTTCCATTTTCATAGTTATGTTTAATTTTCTTTAATTGTCTAAGTTAGTGTATCTCAGCCATTTTTTATGTGAACTATCATCACTGCTGCATATACCCCATCCCATTATGTATAATTACTGACATTTATATATACAGATACAATAATACAGAAATATTTTTATTTTTACCAGTTATGCAAAATTGGTGTAGGTAATTAGACACATTATTAATAATAATTAGACAAGTTATATATGAGCACATTTAATGAGAACCTTGAGGCTGTTTGGCAGCACACAGTATTAAAAATCTGGGTCGGGAGATGACAAATGCAGCCTCATGTCTGAATCTGTTCCTATGCTTATTTTGTATTGCAGGACGAAAAAGCTCTCTTCATTAATAGAGTGCTTGTGAATGGTTAGCAGAATAATGACTGTTTTGTTGAACAGTTCAGGATATTCTTCTTTCAAGTCAGTTCAGAATGAGATGGAAAATTTTATTTTCAAATTCTACTTTAAGGGAAGAACCCATTTTCAAATCAATCAACTTAAATTTTACTTGGATTGATAAAGGTGCACATTGAAAATACTTTTTACTAAAAGGATATGCAATCCAGTGGTTATCTGTTCCATGTTTAGAAAAATAATTTTTGAAAGCTGCCTTCAGTCCATTCAGAGGATGTATAATTTGTTTCTTAATCTCTCAAGAAGCATGAAAATCTATTTCACAGAGGACATTGTGCAGTGTTTTAAAAACCTCAATATATTCTATTCTCAATATATATAACTTTCAAAGTTCTCAATTTTAGTGAAAGACTATTGGTTACTTGGAATATAACTGCCCTGTTCTGAAGAGATGAATTTAGCTGGTTTGATTTCAGAAAGATACCAGATGCAAAGCTTTGAAGCCATTCAGGATAATCAAATTTAAATGAAAGTCAAAAAGGTTGGTTCTCAAAGAATGCTTTGACTTCATGTCTAAGTTCAAACAAATGTGTAAGAACCTTACCCTGAGACAGCCATCGAACTTCAGTATGAAAGAATAAGGTTTTGTGAGTACTCCCTATTTCTTGACACAATGATCAGAATAGCCTTAAATTCATGTTGGGGATTTGACGAAATTAACCACTTTTACAGAATTATCCAAAACATCTTTCATACTAGTAGGAAGGGACTTTGATGGTAGATTTTGTCGATGGATGCAACAGTTTGTCCATTTTACCAAGGGGACACAGCTTTGGCATATTGAGGAGACGAGAGTAACAACCTGATAGTATTCTTGCCATCACCAGTGCTTAAACCACAGCACTGTGATCACTTTATTTCACTTTTTATTAAAGTACTAGCATGAAAAAGATCTGCATTTGTCTTATGTTCAAAAAGAAGATAACAGTGTAAAAGCCATTCTACAAATTAATTTCCTTTCAGGTACCTTACAGTAACTATCAAAACAGCAAATACATCAGTACTCTCATCAATTTGAATGAAAAAAGTATTTACTGTTACTGACTTCTTTTACCAATGTCTCTTCCATATTATCAGAAATGTCTTTGATTCTGAGGGAGACTGTGTCAATGGAGAGAGGGATAGCATTTGTTTTGTGAAAATAGTCATTATTGAACATACAAAAACGAAACTGCAGCTTTAATGCTGGACAAAATCAAATTTTCAACAATCATGGGATTTTTGGCATCACTGTTGGTACAGTGACTGATGTGATAACAGCCTTTAACTACTTTTCCATTAGTACAACCACAAGACAAGTACATAACTATATTGCATTTATTTTTGAGCACATTCATAAAAAAAAGTCTGGTTTTTGTCTTTAAAATCTGAGTGTTTAATTTGAATATGAAGAGTAAGTAGTGAAGGCTTTTTTCTACCATTAGACAATGCTTTTCTGCAAATAGCATATCAGGTGTAGGAATGTTTGTCAAGTGTTGGCCGCTGGTTTGATCCCTTTTGACAGGTACTGATCTCGCAGATAAAATGCATATCTATACTGAATTTAGAACATTCATATCTTTCTAAATTACAATTATTTTGGATTCAATTTAGTTATTTTGATTTTTCATAATGAAATGTAATTTATATTGGAAATGCCAGTTGTTACAACTTCTGCTTACCTTTTATGTTATGTTCAGTCTATCCACCACCATAATATCTATCATTTTCCGTCATTATATATCTCTTTTCTACGTACCCCTGAGACTATTTCACATACCCCCAAGGATATGCATACAACAAATTGAGAAACACTGGCCTATGTTATTGAAGTATGTGCTGAGAACACAAATAAAATCGGCAAAAAATTGTTTTAATTTATTAATGTGATAAGTTCAGAAAAAGCAACCTGGCTGTTCTTTGGTAATTTTTATCACTATGTTTAAAAGTTCTGTATAAAGTGATAAGTTTGCTTCGATTGATTTTAAATTTTTATTATCAAAATGTGTTACAGTTCAGATGATAATCCATCAGGTAATTCTTAGTGTACATATTTGTTAAAGAGACATCTTGATGTTTTTTGAAGGCATTTTTAATTCTTATTTCTAATCTATTTAAATCATTGCTGATTATTCATGAATCAAAACAGTTTGATGTTCAGTTTTTTTGAAAGATGTTACTTGGCATTATAATCCTATCATCACAGCCATTCCGCAGAAAGCTGCATTGTATATTTAGCAGATAAATAGAGTTGCATATAATATCAAAATTGGTTTAATTAATACTTGGATTTGCGAGGAGTTACCTGTATCTCCTGTCCTGACAGAAGTGAAAAATTCACTGACATATACTGGATCCTAATATTTGTTTTTTCTTGCTTGACACCAGGTTCAGAAGTAAATATCAATGAACCTGATATGTCTGTTGTATTATGACAGTATTGCATTTATTAGGTTATTTTTTGCCTATGAGGAGATATGCCTTTGTAGAGGATTTTCTGAGTGAAACTGCCTTTTATTTCTGATACACATAAGGAAAAGCATGAATATGCTCATACAGCTAGCCTATTCACCGAGTTTTGAATTAGGTACCTGCTTGTCTACTGGCTATTGTCATTACTTTCGATAATGAATCTACTGAATTCTGATACAATTAGTGTAGAATTTTTTAACCCCCAATTTTAATTTAATTATAATTTTTAGATTATTTAATTAATTTTGTAACATTCTTTAATAATTTATAAACTTAATTTTGAAATTTCTAAATTCTTAGTTTATTTTAACGGGCAGATTTGAAGGTTTTAGCGAGTTTGCTGCACTTATTTATTTACTTTTATTCTCAGTTATATTGCTAAAGGATGGTTAACTTCCTAATTTGAATTTTGGTTCTAACAGTTCCATTAATTATTTTATTGTATGTATGTTCTTCCTGTTAGATTGTTAACTACCAATTTTGATTTAAGTATAACTTCTTGGTTATATATATATATATAAGTAATAATTTATAAGAGAAGATTCAGATGCTTGCATTCATGGCTTCTCAAGAATAAAGAAAAAAAACACAATTTTCTTTATTCTTGAAAAGCTCAATTTAATAAGAATTATACATCATAATGAGCACAATAAGGGCCTTTTCTTGAAGAACTATATTGATGCTGATAAAATTTTGAAATACATGTGAAACAGCAGCCATTAGCAGATCAAGCTAGCGACAGATGCATAAAGCCAATGTGATGAATTTGAGATTAAATTTTAGTTCAAAGTGAGTTAATTTTGATTTTGATTGGCTAATTAATAACTCTCTAATTAGCATCATGAGCTTTATGTTAGAGTTATATGACAGCTATTAATTTTGAAATGAGAATTTGAATTCTGAAGGTGAAGATGTCAAAAATGATGAGGTATCTGAAATAGATTCTTAAATTAGGTAGCTTACATGTAGGCGTAAGCACATTCACAAAATCAGTGCTGTATGCTCTTTTTACCTTTTTTAAAAAACATTTTTAGCATTTTTATTCTGCTTGAAAAATATTGAATTAAAATCACATGTGTATTAATCATTAAACTTATAACTTTTTTTATTAATCATTAAACTTATAACTTTGTTTTGTTCAAAAATCTAGCATTGTTCTTGGATCTAGTTCTCTGGCTTTCATTGTAGCATATCCTCTAGTGAAAAGATTTTCATATTGGCCTCAACTTATGTTGGGTATGTCCATTTAGATGCCTTCATAGATTCCTTACTTTTCGCATTTTAACTTAAAAAGAATTTTTTTTTAAAATTTTGTTTTATGCATTTTTTACTGCAGTTTGAAATGGGTTAAATTCCTCCTTTCTGCAATTATATTTAATAATTTATCAAAAGGAAATACTTTTGCAAAATTTTTAACTTTTCAAAAATAAGGTTGTGTAATATTCATTATCTGTCCAACTCAAAGACATCCATTTAGTGGAAAATTATTTTTAAAAGAAATATAGAGTTTTTTTAACAGATTGGAGCATATTTTAGTAATGTATAATAAATTAATCAAAAGTTACTTTTTAGTTTTTATATTTGTGCTTTCATTTATGTCATTGCCAAATTTTTTTAAAAGTGCTTTTGTGTAAAATAAATATTTTAAAGTGAAGTGTAAAAAATAATGTTTTTTTCAGTGTGTTGTTAATTTTGTTTAATGAATTAGGTTTGATACAACTGGAGTTCAACATAAGTACTAATTTCATATCAAATATATGAAGGAATAACAAGTCATTATGATTATAGATTTTGTTTTTGGATTTAGGTATATAATTTGAAAAACTTATCAGCGATTTCTGTGTTCAGAGAAGACAAATCAAGAAAATTATTGGAAACAAAAAGATGTATTATTTTAAATTTTTAATTAGTTAATTGTCAAGATAAACACCTCTTTATATGTATAGCAGCATCCCAGCTTACATGTGCAACGGCATGCCAGTTATAAAAAATTTTGAAATAAAGTAAGACATTAAGTTGTAAAAATTTTAAAAATAAAGTAAGGTGATATTAAAGGAGTTCTTATTTGGGAACATATTTCCATTTAATAGAAATCAGGCAGTTTAAAATGTTCCCATTTATCTGCACTTCCACTTTTGGAGGTTAAATTTTAAATATAGTGCAGATAAAAGATTTATCTGCACTTCCACTTTTGGAGATTAAATATATATATATATATATATATATATCTACATATAATAAAAGAAGAGTCTGTCTGTATGTCTTTCGTTCGCACTACATGTAAGTTAATTGACCCACGGCTGCGAAATTTGGTACATAGGTGCATCTAGACAAGAGCCAGTGCACCTCAAAGCGATTTTTTTCGAAATTCGAATTTGAATTTTTTTTTTATTTTATGTTTTGTGACGAAATCGTGTCATTTTGAGACATAATGGGCTATAGGAAAGCGAGATTTTACTCTACACACTCCATTTTCACATCGTCATGAAACATAGGCACTTACCTATTTTACGAACTTAAAATAAATTTTGTGTTTCAATAAATCAATTAAATACGAATTTATTTAACAATGTGAGCTAAACACCTTTTCAACGGGATTTTTCTAAAAAAAGTTTATTTTTAAAAATGTACAGTTTATTTTTCTTTGATTTTTGAACACGTTTAACTTTCATCCTTGCGACTGCTTTTACAAAAAGAATTTTGGAAAACTGATAATATTTTGTATTTTTAAAACATTTTTTAAATAAAGCTTTAAACATTTTTTAAGTTCATATACGAGACCAAATGATTAAAAGAAGAAAAGAAACCACATATGCTGCTGAGTGGTTTTAAATAAAATGTTTTGTGGCTGCTAAAATTTCAAACTTTGCTTTTTGAAAAAATGAATAAAATGACAAATTAATAGCAATAATATTAATTATAAATGTTTTAATATTGATTATAAACGTTTTAGAAAATTAAATTTTAATTAAAAAAAAATACTGGCAAAAATTTTTTTCTCAGCTTAAAATTATATTGTCTTACAAAACCATTTAATAACATTCATAAAAATAGATGAAAGTTCTTAAATAAAAAAAATCATTCAAAAGGTACCAAGTCCCCTTAGGGAAGTTGAAGCTGGTATGCATGTCTTTAGTTTTAATTTGAATGGTATTTCTGAAATACCCAGCATCAGATAACCTTGTCTGTACTTGTTTACAAATTTCTGTATTTTGTATGGTTCTATATAATTTTTTTGGATGATATCGCATCCTCAGATATCTACCAATACGATTGTTTCTCTGACAGTATAGCGAGCAGTCAGTTGCACGTCAGCAATGTTGTTTGTGAAAATTAAGTGAACCGTGCAGTGCATGGGAAATCTCCCCATTTGCCCTGCTCCTGAGAGGTAGGAATGTTCTACCTCCAATTCGGGGAAGCAGCTAATGCGTGTTGCCGTGTGAATGGGACACATTGGAAGAACCATTTTCGCTACCGGTCGAATCTGCTCTTATGAACGGGGAATAATTGGATTTTGAAATCCTTTGAAAAGTGAAATATTTCAAAATATCTGTTTGTAAAAAATATAGTTACACCTTATAAATTGTGATACGGTAAACTCTTGCTGAACGCAAACGTGCAGAATGCAATTTTGCTTATATATGTTATCTGAACTGTCTGCATTTAATTTGGCCAACATGAAAATTTCAATTATGCATGGTATATTGCAGAACGTTGGCACCTAGCAGTAGCAACATACTCTACCAATGTTCAGGTGTAAGAACAAGGTGTTTATGTATTTATAAGTGTTTAACCCTCTTCCCCATTTTCATTTGTATGTCTTAGAGTTTAAAAATTAATTTTAACACTTAAAAGGGAAAATGAAGATGATAAAGCAGGGGGGATGCAAAGTTTTGACATTATCTCAAAAACTTGAAGTTTTAGATAAATTGAGAAATAGTACATGTTTCATTGCTTGCAAAGAAACTACCTATAAATGAGTCAAGCATAAAAGCAATATGGGAGAATGAAGAAAAGGAGTCTCGTATCAAAGCCTACTTTTGCAAAGGTTGCTCAGTTTCGAAGAAGGATCCCTGTATTGGAAAAGATGGGAAAAAGCTAGTACTTTTGATTGAGAATCATGTTAACAAAAGAGGTTCGTTCATGTACTTGATGCTGTTCAAAATAAAAGCTTTGGATTTGTTTCCTTTCATTTTAAAAAAAAGATGGCCGATTTTAGAGAAAACTGACTTTAGTACCAGTAAAGATTGACTTGAGAACTTTAAGTATCATTTTGATCTGCCCAATGTAAAGCTACAGGAAGAAGCTGGACCTGCAGATAAATGAGCAACAAGAATTTCAGACCTCAGTTTTTGAAATTAATTAAAGAGAAGGGTTATGTTCTGCAACAAGTTTTCAATACATATGAGGCAGACCTACTTTTATAAGTGAATGTTATAGCAAACCTGCATCACAAAAACACAAAAGGTTGCCCCAAATTTTAAAGATAGATTCACTTTGCTTTCCTGTGAAAATGCATTGGAGACTTCAAGTGCAAGCTTCTGCTCATTTAGCAATCTAAATGCCTCATGCACTGTATTGAAAGAATTTTAAGCTATTGCCTGTAGTGTGGAAGGGAAATAGGAAAGCCTGAATAATAAAATACATCTTTAATGACTGATTTGAAAATCCATGTATTAAAAAGTCAAATGTCACTTAGGAGCATCAAAACCTGAGCTTTTCAATAATGCTCCAGGATTTTGAGCATCAAAACCTGAACCTCTTGGTAATGGTCCAGGACAGTGCACTTAAGCCTTTACAATACTGCATCCAAATGTAAAGGTTTTGCTTCCTGCACTGAACACTACTTCCATAATATAACCAATGGATCAAGGAATCATAAAAACATTCAAAGCCTATTATGTCAGGCATGTATATATCTCTGCAAATAATGCATGTTACACTAATTTTGAAAGCAGTTTGATTTAAGACACTGTATAGATATGATTAACCTCATGCAGAAACAAGTGATGATAATGCAAAAATAAGTGAATTCATCATTAATGAATGCTTGTTGAAATCAGCTCTAGCATTAAGTTGTCAGCAATTTTAATAGATTTATATTGATTGAAAATGAAGCAAAGGAAATCATATAAACTGCAAAAGCAATAGCAATGAAAGATTTTCCGCAGTGGAAAAAGATGAAATCAAAGAATTAATTGAGAATGGCAAAAAAAGAAATGGATGATCTTATAACACCAGGCAACTGTGAATGCAGCGATAATGAACAAAAAGATAAAGCACCTTATAAGATTTTAAACAAGTTGTTGAAAGAGGCAGTGGAATTGTCTGATTTTGTGATGGAGATTGACCCAAATGTGAAGACAGAAAAAAGAGGACACTTTATAAGATATATTGAAAAACTCCTTGCCATGCAATATTTAATGATCTTTTCAATTAACAATTGTTTCCTTTTCCCCTTTAATTACAATAATATTTAGGTTTGTACAAATTATACGTACTTTCTTAATCTGAACTATACTATCTATTTTTTTTCCATAGAAACTTAAATTTGTGGAATGCAGTTTTGTCATATACTCTTAGACACACACACACACACACCAAAAAAAAAAAAAAAAAAAAAAAAAAAGATTCACTGTGATGCAACATCGAAGAGATAAAGCAAATCGGACACAAATTGATATGCATACAGGTTTCGACGGAAAATGCAAAATTTTACATTTTGGTTGCTAATGAATGATCGGTTATTGCTACAGTGCATCTGATCTGCACAACTGGCAGGATATTTAAGAGGAGAAATTACGATTCCAGATCATAAATTCGTTCGTTTTCATTTCGTGTACTCTGGTAGACAGTAATAATGCCTCGTATACAGGCACGCGAACGGTATGCGCAGATGTCAGAATTTGAGAGAGGTCGTGTAGTTGGGGTCAAATAAGCCGGTTAGTCTTATCGGCGAAAAGCTCGACATTTAAGCAGGAGCGATGCCACTATTAGACTGTTGGCTCCTGCCAACAGCCTAGAGAAACGGCAGAACGTAAAAACCAAGCAATCGTCAGAGTGGCACTCGCAGCCCCAGATGCATCATTATCATTGATTGTACGTGCAACTAGTGCTTCAGTGACCGCAAGAACTATTCATAGATGGTTCACAGAAAGAGGGCTGAGGTCACGGTGCCCTTTGCGCCGACTACCATTGACCTCTGTACAACATCAAGCCAGTTTGCAGTGGTGTTGGGCTCATTTGCACTGGAATGTCACTGACTGGAGTAGAATACTCTTCATTGATGAGTCCCGCTTTGAACCGAGCCCCGATGATCAACGAAGGCAAGTTTGGAGACACCCGGACAGCGGTGTGATACCAGCCTGACTTGTCTTCCGGCAGACAGGCCAACAACCAGGAGTGATGGTCTGGGGTGCCATTTCATTTCATAGTAGGACCCCTTTGGTTGTCATTTGTACAGCACAGCGGTACATGGACAAAGCCCCGTTGTGTTGCCCTTCATGTCATGCCACCTTGGGCTTACATTTCAGCAAGATAATGCCCGTCCCCACACTGCACGTGTTTCTACTGCTTGCCTTAGTGCTTACCGAACATCACCTTGGCCAGCAAGGTTGCTGGATCTCTCTCCTATTGAGCACGTATGGGCAGGGCTCTCCAACCAGCTCAGGATGTTGACGATCTGACGCGCCATTTGGACTGTCCCTCAGGAAGACATCTGCAACCTCTATCAATCGCTGCCAAGCCAAATAACTGCTTGCATAGGGGCCAAAGGTGGACAAACGCGTTATTGACTTTTTCACTTTGTGAAGCTCTGTCACTTCAACAAATCATCCAATTTTTCTAAAACTGTAATCATTTGTTTTTCTGTACATGCACATCACTTCTACCGATTTTTGTCCCATTCGGATAACTCCTTCTTGGTGCATTATTATTATTTTTTTTTTTTTTTTTCCCTGTCTAAGAGTGTATATGTACTGTGTTAATGATATAACCCTCGCTTTCAGCAAGGGTAAAATATATAAAATTTTTAACATCACATTATGATAAAAACATTTATCAAGAATTTTTTATATTATTTAAAAAATGTATTTGAATGCAAATCAAATGCAATGAAATTTTCTATTGAAATGCATAATTAAATTCTCCAGGGAACAGTTTTATTTTTTTGATCGATATTTGCTTAGAAAGGTAGCATTATAACTTATTAACCCCTTAACTGCCGCGGGCGTATATGTACGCCTTGCTCAGCCGATGCGTTAACTGCCCCAGATGCGCAGCCGATGCGTTAACTTTGCGAATAATTTTAGGTGTAGCAGCGCAAAGCAAATGATAGCAGTTTGGAAGGACGTATATATACGCCTGGGGCAGTTAACGCATCGGCTGAGCAAGGCATATATATACGCCCGCGGCAGTTAAGGGGTTAAGAATGTGTCTAATATTAAAGATTATTCACATGTTTCATAATACGTAATGAAAGAAAATTATTCCTCTAATTTCAATTTTTTTAATTATTTTTAAAAATTTTATTTATAGTACTGTTGTCATCTTATGCTAGTGTAATTATTTGACATTTTTAAAATTAAGAAAAGTATAGTTCGAAGGAACTCTTTTATTTCTATGGTTGTTTCTTTATCACTGCATGTAATGATAATCTTCTGAATGTGTTTTTTAAAACTAAGCAGATACTCTAAAATGCCAATGCACTTTACCAGTAGTAATGTATTAATATTTTTTACATATTTAAATGTATTAATATTTTATATGTATTTAAATTTTATGCATTTAAAATTTGTATTATCATTTCCAAATTTCATACCTTATGTGACCTTATTATTTCTTAAATTAATTATGAAGACATTATCTTGTTTACAAGATATTGTAAAAGTATTTTAATTTCAGCTTAAAATTGTAGGGTTAACTTTCAACTGGGGAGCCATGCTTGGTTGGTCTGCATTGCATGGAACCTGTCAGTGGTCAGCTGTGTTGCCCTTGTACTTAGCTTGTGTGTCATGGACTATGATTTATGACACAATTTATGCTCATCAGGTAAAGTTCAAATGTATAATCATAAATTTATTTTTACAGCCCAAAACTTTATGCGGTATTCTTAGCTGCAGATTATTATGTAATGCCTGTCTTCATTCGTATAAAATTTAGTCATACTGGATTTGTCAAGGAAGTAGTAGGAATGATTTTTTTCCTGCCAAAACATTGCAAAAGAGTGGGATGTTTCTGCACTGACTAGGTTGTGGGGAACCTTAGCTACCAGCGCACCAGTCGCCCGTGATCTCCTAGCCTTCATGGAGTGTAGATCAAATTAAAGGTGAACCCCTTTCAAGGTGCCTTGTCATCTCCACAATGAATCATTTGTTAGAGCAGCATTATGCTGTGAAGTTTTGCATCAAACTGAATAAAACTGCAAGTGAGACCCATGACATGATCAAGATTGCTTATGGGAGTGATGCCATCAAATTTTTCAGAAGAGAAGAGAGAAATTTGAAGATGAGCAATGGTCAAGATGCTCTTCAGTGGCAAAAAGTGATGAAAACTTAGTGAAAGTACAAAATTTTCTGAACTGTTGCTGCCTCAGACTCTGAATGAATTTCCTGACCAAACATCGCATGACACAGCATCCTACAGCTCGGATGTCGCTCCTTCAGACTTCTTCTTCTACCGACTGGATAGTGTCATGAAAGGGCGGCACCATTTCTCGGTCCAGGCCATAACAAGGAAGCTGGGGAGCATTCCAGAGAGCCTTCTGTGATTGGCAGAGTCACTGGAAACACTGTTGAAGCAGAAGGGACATATTTTGAGAACTACTAAGTCAGTGTGTCAAAATTTTTTTTTTTTTTTTTTTTTTTTTTTTTTTTTTTTTTTTTTTTTTAAATCACTCCTACTACTTTCCAGACAGACCCTGTGTATTCTCTCCTGTTTTTTGTTGCTAGCAAAAAAATATAATTGACATGTCAGTAGTGCCTCTAACTTCACTCATCAAAGCTGTTCAGTTTATAATAATGAAACTGGCAGTAAAAAGAGGAGGAGAAAGCTAAACAAAAGATGTAAAAAGAAAAATTTGGGCTAAAATATTTAATTTAAGGCTGAGAAATCCAGTTTTAAAATTTTTGTTAAGCTTTCCTCTTTAAATCACATTTTAATGACATTAAAATTTCATTTCAGTAATAAGCTTTTGAACCGAAATATCTAATAATTCATTAGCAAGTGAAGAATAAAAAATTTCTCTCCTTGCTTTCAGCTTCACATATTATACTAATTCAGAAGTCAAACAACAAAAATCAGCATTATATTTTCAAATTATTCACATATTATATTTTTCAAGTATATCATTTTGTAACAAGTGTCAAATTTTTAAGGGAAATCCTTAAAATGTTTTTAATTTTATGATTTAAATACAAAACTGTAGTAATTAGCTGGTATTTTAGTTATATGTTCAAGAAAAATAACAAATGGGGTCCATGTTGTGTAAAATATTTTCTACTTTTTTTACTTATATTTGATACCAGTGACATCAACTAAATTTGTTGTTGTGACAGTGGACAAAAAGTCTGCTCCAAAATCTGGGGGGGGGGGAGGTGTACAACACTAAGTTTTTTTCAATAAATGAGAATTTTTTGTAAATGCTGCTTGCAATAGCATTCTTATTGAATTCTGTGGTTTTCCCCATGTGTAACATGTATACGAGCCAGTTTCCCTTAGAAAGTCCTCCACAAAGGCATCCCTCCCCTTAGGCAGATAGCCCTAGTGTGCTTTGCCATACTTAAATAAACCTAAACCTTATTGAATTCTGCATTTCAAATCCATCAGTTGTAGAGTATGAAAGATTATTTTCAGATTTTTTAACAGATCAAGGAAGCTCATGCTTTCAAAAACTTCTGCCATTTTAAATTCCTCCCCCTTCTAAATGGGTGGGGGTTTAATTGTACTACATAATAAGTAATTACGAATAAAGATAACCACAAAATTCTCAATTGCAGTGATAGAACTTCCTAATATTGTGCTATGTTTTTCATTAAAACCTGCATGCAAACAATAAACTGCAGCATGCTTTCATGTATATCTTATTTAGTTTGACAGACAAATGGAATCAAGGGTTAAGAACAGTGCCTCCAGTGTCTGGACTTCGATCAGCATTTATTTACTCTGAAATTTTAATTTTTAAGTATAAATATGGTCTCATCCCACTGAAGAAGCAGATATGCTAGTTGTAAAAAGGTGTTTAAGTACTTATGGCATGATTATTCCCTTTTGCTTTGTGCAATCGGTTTGGTGCCTTCATCAGCCCTGACTTTTGGCTGCATAGAGGATGCTGAGTAATTATTGCAGGTTTTTTTGTTTAACCTTTTGTCAATTATCTAAAGGGATTGAAATACTGTGTTCCCGTTAATTAATGTATAGTAGTTTCAAAAATTTTTTTGTAGTGCATCAGTTTCATCCATGGAGCATAAAGGCATTGGACGTAAAAATTTTCCTAAGTATTTAATTTTATCATGTAGACATTACAATATTCATTCTTCATGGATCCAGGAAAGCCATGAATCTAGATTTGTCATCTTGATAAATTAGATGCATTATCTGATGAGAATCCTACAAATATGCAAAATAAATCAAGTGGTTAAGTAAAATTTTCTGAAAGCATGTTCATTCATTATTTTGTTCACTTTTATTAATGAACTTATTTCACTTTCTTAAAATTTACTCAACAGTATTATAAACCTACTTACTCTGAACTACTCAGGTATGTATCTTTCTTTAAAACTGCTTTTGCTCATTCATTATAGGATATCTAACTATGGACAATTTTTAGAGACGCGATAAGCTGAAATTTACATTATTTTACACTTGGAGTAAAAAAAAAAATTAATTACCTGATATCTGAGGTATCCATTTAATGAAGTTTCATATACAATGCTAGCTAAAGCATAACATATACAGTCAAAAGTCTTTAATCCGGACTTGTCGGGACTTCAGCGATTCCGGATTATCAGTTTTTCCGGATTATAGATCATCAATTTAAATCTGGTAAGATGGCATGCAGAAATTATAAAATTAAAAATATGAAACCGTAATTTATGAAATAAAGAGCAATTATGATCTAAAAGGTATCAAAATTTACAAAAAAAAAAAGCTTAATATTTATTTGTTTACTTTATTAAACATTTCTTTCAACGTGCGCATGCGTAAAACATACATTACATGAGTATGCTTACAGGAGTCGAAATTAGAAAATTAAAATGAGAACACTATTTGATGTGTATTAGTGATATTTATAATGATGAGGAATTTGATTTAAATTATATCAAAGATGGAAGTACATTGAGATGAAAAACTACATTTAGTAACATTTAGTAAGGAATTATAAGCCGAATAAAATAAAAACAGCTGCCCTGAAGATAAGGATAGTGCTGACAGATCAACTTCAGTTCATTGCGCGCCGCGACGTCTCCTCCCCCCGGCAGAGCAGCATGAAATTGATAAACAGATTTTAGAATGGTTAGAGAATCAAAGGATTTGCCTTTATCCATTTTTTTCAGCAATTCCACTTTTTGTTTGATGAACATCAAAACATGCTTTCGCTTTGTAGATCCTTTGGCAGCTCCAGAATCAGAAATTCTTTTTGACATAATCAAGTTCAAGCTTACTTTATAAAATTGCTCTAACAGTCTGCAAAAAATAATAAGCCAGATGCAATTCGAAGATTAAGGAACAACGCAATCTGCAACATTAACTGAAAATAGATAATTAGGTAATTTTAGCTTAGCTTATATCGTCCGTTATACATTAAACGAGCATGCGTAAACACATTATGCGTAATGCATGCGTAAAAGGTTTGTAGCTTTGAGGTCTGGATTAAAGACTTTTGACTGTATTAAATATATTATTAACTGCCTTAAGAACTCCTGCCATGGGTATGTTTCTGATGACATAGTTCAAAGGTGGTTTGAGAAGTGTGCAAATTTCAGTCTAAAAGATGTCTTTTCTGTGAACAGTCACCCTCTGTAAACAAGGAGAGATATTAAAAGAAGCTGTTGCTGAAAACTCAAGTTATACAGTTCAAGAACTATCAGACAGAATAAATATTTCAAAATGTTACAGACGAAAATGTCATGGAGAAAACAACGCAAGGCGAAAACTTCATCATACAAAACATCATGATAGAAAAGAAAGCAAAGAGAAAACATCGCAATTCTAAAACATCATTGTTTAAAGTAAAGCAGTACAAAAACTTCTCAATTTGAAATCATCTTCGTCAAAAATATTGTGGTGAAAAATAGAGCACCTGCAAATCATCGCAGATATGCGATTTTCTTGCTTTAAAAACTGTAAATGCATATTAGCATAACGATTTTGAGCACAAAAATGAATGAGGAATATTTCTACTTTTATATTTTTAATTAACTAATAAATTTTTGCTAATAAATTAAAAAGGACGCATAAGTATTCAAAAGCTGAAAATAAATAGAAAATTAATGCTAGTTATAGCGGTTGACAGAATTTTATAATTTTATATTTAATTAAATTTAGATAGAGGTAACCACAAGCAATTGCTTATCTTCCTTTTCTAAACTTTTTTAAACTATATATTTCATGAAATATTACCAATAAAACTTTATAAAAGAGAATTAATTACCTTTATTAGTTTACTATATTAAAATTCTGTTAACTACTATACATAGCAGTATTTTTCTACTTTTTTTTTAATGCTGAAATTTCCTTATTTTTTCAGCAAAAATTTGTTAATTCAAAAATATGAATCATAAAAGTAAAAAATATTTCTCAATTCTTCTTGTGCTCACAAATCATTATCCGAATATGTGAATTTTTATAGGGATGTTATTGTCATGCAATGGTTTATATGTGTTTAATTTTGTACCAAAATATTTTCCAGGACAATATTTTTAAACTATGAAGTTTTTGAATTTTTTTTGACGACGATGTTTTAGAACTCAGGTTTCCTCCTTGCTTTCTTTCCTCCCATTATGTTTTGTATGACTATTTTTTCACCTTGCCTTGTTTTCTCTGTGATATTTTTGGCATACACCATTCCATAAAGTGCAGTTGCAGGATCATTTGAAGAAGCTTGGGTATGTAAGCTGTTATGATGTATAAGTACCATATACTTTAACAGGGCAGAATATACTTGCTCAAGTTTTGGCGTGTCATTTTTTGCTGAAGAAAAATAAACTTTTTCAAAATGGCTCGTTATTGGAGATTAGAAGTGGATACTATGTTACAAGAAAAATATCCTGGGGTAAGCCAAAAGAACCTCTTTTAAAAACATCAATTGACAGGCTGTATCCCAGAAAAGTAATGCTTTATGGATGCTGGGACTACAAAGGAATATTATATACAGTACAAAGTCTTTAATCTGGACATCTATAATCTGGACCTCAAAGCTACAAACTTTCTGCGCATGCGTAATACCTTTGCACATATGCGTTTACGTATGCGCGTAATACGTTTACGCATGCGCGTTCAATGTATAACGGACGGTATAAGCTAGGCTAAAATTATCTAATTCTCTATTCCAGTTAATGTTGCAGATTGCGTTGTTCCTTATTCTTCTAATTGGATCTGGCTTATTATTTTTTGCAGACTGTTAAGCAATTATATAAAAAGTAAGCTTGAACTTTCGATTATGTCAAAAAGAGGTTCCAATTCTGGAGCTGCCAAAGGATCTACAAAGCGAAAGTATGTTTAAATATCAATGAAACAAAAAGTGAATTGCTGCAAAGAATGGATAAAGGCATGAAGAAAGTGACAGAGAGGTTAGTGAAAACGAAAAAATTTTGATTGACAAATTAGTCGGCATTCTCGACACAGCAATTACAGGACTTGAGCAGCGGAACTTTTTAACTGAACAAGAAATTATGTCTGTTTGTTATTTAAAGAGAAAGTATTATCACATGAAACGAAGCAACTTAAACAACTTACATTGAAAGAAATGTTTAATAAAGTAAACAAACAAATATTAAGCTTTTTTTTTTTTTTTGTAAGATACCCTTTAGATCATAATTGCTCTTTATTTCATAAATTATGGTTTCATATTTTTAATTTTATAATTTCTGCATACCATCTTACGAGATTTAAATTGATGATCTATAATCCGGAATCGCCGAAGTCCCGATGAGTCTGGCTTAAAGACTTGGTATTATGAATTAATTGCTCACCAAATCAGTTAAAAAATTCAGAAAAATGCTGTTCGGAACTGGTAGTTTTAAAAACAAAGATTGAAACAGAGTATCAGATCGCTCAATCTTCTAGGTGTTGTTTTTCATCACGTCAGTGCTCAGCCCAGGGCTTAATTTCAAAAATTAGAAGTACCAGAGCCCTATAGAAGACCTTCAGAAAGAGGAACAAGAATAAATAAAGAATATGATGATTAAAAAAATCATTAACAATTAAAAAATTAAATAATTCATTATTAAAACAATTAAATAATGGTTAAAGTAATTAAATAATTAAAATTTAATAAAATGCAAAGAGATAAATTAGAATTTAATAAGCAATTTTCAATATAATTTTATTAGTAAAAATAAAGTTTTCAAGATCAAATTTCTACTGAAATTATTGTTCAGTTACATAAAAAAAGTTCTTATTTAGGGCTCTGGTGCGCTCCGGCTAAAATTATAAATTAGCTCAAAAACTAAGAAGTACTGGAGCCAGGCTCCTGTGGGCTCCGGCGCAATTTAAGCCCTGGCTCAGCCCCACATTTTAATAAATGTCAGGCAAAACCTTATTGATTACAGCAAAGATGTCTTGGATCACATGCCACATTCGCTAGACTCTCAGATTTTCATCTCTTCAGAACACTTCAAAATTCTCTGAATGGTCAGGATTTTGTTTCATTAGAGACAATAAAAACACATGTTAGTAACTTCTTCACAAATAAAACTAATAATTCTTTCTCATTTCATGAGAGATGGCAAACTGTCATAAAATAAAATACTGGTTATATGATTTCGATGGAAGTTTTTACCGCTTCATTTGTATTTGTCATAAAAAAACTGCAGAATCTTTTGGGTGATCCAATACTTTCCTTATATATGAAACAGTTTCAAAACCATATGTGTTTTCAGTTTTTGCTATGTATATTTCATTTCTCCTAAGACAAAATTTAGATAAACATAATAATTTCCTCACATATCCCCCCTTTTTTTACTAATTTATCATTCAAAAATCAAATAATTCTCATAAAAGGAAAATTTATGAGAATAATTCATTTTCCGAAAGACATGGCCTTGGCACCCATCAGTTTGCGTGGTTGTGTCTTTATTAGTAAGATGAAAACAATCAGTATGGGAACAAATCCATTTTAAAATTTAGAGAAACTCCTTCTGTAAAGGCACTGGGAAAGGGGAAAATTATGTGGATTTTTTTCAAATTTTCAGAACCTGTTTCTAAAGAGCTGGGAGAGCATGTGGTATACATAAATAATTATTTTATTTTGTACCATCCGCTACACGGCCAGCCTTTGTCTAGCTTTTAAATGTACCGTAAAAATTCCTAAAGGGAACACTAAACATTTAATTTAAAACCTGCACTGAATTTTACTCTGCAGAACAACTTTATCAAAAAAAAAAAAAAAAAAAAAAAAAATCACTAAAAATGTATCACACATTAAAAAAATTACAATGAAATAAGCAATATCCTTTAATACAAATATTAATTATCCTAATAAATAAATTAATCAACTTCCTGTTGCAAAATCTTAAGAATTCAAATGGTATAAAGGGAGTTAAAAACTTTGTTTCCTAAAAAAATCATGCATATAATTAAAATTATGTATAATTAAAACATAATATAAAAAATTGCAATGAAATAAGCAATAAATCTCATATTTTCAAAAGAAAACAGTCAGAAGTCCAGTATCCAAAGCAGTGAATGAAAAACTTGCCAAAGCCAGATTTCTAAAAGAATGAAACTATCATCAGAAAGCATAACCATTCAAAATTGTACTTTGACATAATTCAAAATATACAAATCTATTTTACATTCGCTAACAGAGAGAGAGAGATAAAGAAATTCTTTCTCTTGTGCGTTACGAGACACATGCGCGTCAGAATAAGAAGATTGCAGTGTGTGTGTTGCATGTCCAAAAATCAAAAGAAAGTAAGCAGTATTTTATCTCATATTTTCAACAGTCAGCAGTCCAGTATACAAATCATTGAATGAAAAACTGTTGTCAAAACCACATTTCTAAGAGAATGAAACTATTCCAAATGATGTGATTTCAAGATAAAATTTAAAAAATCTGATTCGAATTTTGAAAAAATCGCTTCTAGGTGCACTGGCTCTTGTCTAGATGCACATATGTACCAAATTTCATAGCCTTGGGATGATTAGCTTATGCACAGCATGAACAAAAGACACAGACAGACTCTTTCTTTTATTATATGTAGAGATTATTTCAGAAATTTACTTTTCTGATTTCCTTTATATGCATTTTTAGGATAAAGTAGATGATGTTATAATAAAAATTAAATCAACTGCTCTAAAATTTGGAGAAGATACAAAATACTACCTTGCTGGTTTTTCTTCTTCAATGTTAACATTTTTAATCCTGGCTGGTTATTCTGCTGAACAGACTTGGCCTTTTTATACATCCGTTGGCGTAACTGGAGCATTACTATTAACACAGGTAAGTATATTTTAATACTGCAGCTTCTAAAATTTCAATTTTTGCATATATTTAACAGTTAATTATTCCCATTCATCATCTCAGTTTGTATCTATCATTAAACCTTTAAGCTAATCTGAGTCTTAACATGAATGAAAAGGAGTTTTATGGTTTAATATAATACCAGAATTATGACATTTTAACTGTTTTGTGTCTTTACAAAATTTTTATGTTAATATTTTCCTCACCTTTTCTGCTTTTTTCCTCACATTAGATTTTTAAAAAAATTTAACATCATACAAAGAATGGTTTGTTTTCCCTCTTTGAATGACTAGCTAGTGGCAACTCAAGTATGATGTACTTTCCTTCCTGCTTAAAAAATAACAGAATTGTGCATTTTTTGAAAGTTTTCATTTAGTTCAGCTTATTACCTGTAAACTTATTATATTGTAATATTATAACCTATTACAGTCAAAAGTCGTTAATTCAGACACCCATAATCCGGACATCAAAGCTACAAACTTTCTGCGCATGCGTCGCTTTGACACATGCGCATAGGCGTTTATGCGTGCGCCTAAGACCTTTACGGCTGCGAATATGCGCGTGTGCATGCGCATAATGCGTTTACGCATGCGCTAATGTATAACGGACGGTATAAGCTAAGCTAAAATTATCTAATTCAGTTAATGTTGCGGATTGCGTTGTTCCTTAATCTTCGAATTGGATCTGGCTTATTATTTTTTGCAGACTGTTAGAGCAATTTTATAAAAGTAAGCTTGAACTTTCGATTATATCAAATAGAATTTCTGATATATATTTACTAATATGTAAAGGATCTACAAAGCAAAAGTATGTTTCCAAGTCCATTAAACAGAAAGTGGAATTGCTGCAAATAATCGATAAAGGCATCTCCTTTGATTATCTAATCATTCCGAAATATGTTTATCAATTTCACGCTGCTCTGCGGGGGGAGGGAAACGACACGGCGCGCAATGAATTGGAAGTTGATCTGTCAGCACTATCCTTATCTTCAGGGCAGATGTTTTTATTTTATTTGGCTTATAATTCCTTACTAAATGTAGTATTTCATCTCGATGTACTCCGTCTTTGATATGATTTAAATCAAGTTCCTCGTCATAATTCTCTTCCGATAGTGAAGAAAGTGACGCAGAGGTTATTGAAAACGAAAAAATTTTTATTGACAAATTAGTCGGTATTCTCGACACAGCAATTATAAGACTTGAACAGCGGAACTTTGTAACTAAACAAGAAATTATGTCTGTTTATAGAATTAAAGAGAAAGTATTATCACATGAAAAGAAGCAAGTTAAACAACTTACATTGAAAGAAATGTTTAATAAAGTAAACAAATAAATATTAAGCTTTTTCTTTTTGTAAATTTTGATACCCCTTAGATCATAACTGTTCTTTATTTCATAAATTACGGTTTCATATTTTTAATTTTATAATTTCTGCATGCCATCTTACCAGATTTCAACTGTTGATCTACAATCCGGAATCGCCGAAGTCCCGACGAGTCCGGATTAACGACTTTTGACTGTATAACTTATTATAGTACTTAAGTAAAAAGAAAAGTTGGATCAGCTTATTAAATTAATAGTTGCAGAATTAACTGCAAATGAAGTGATTTCCATATTTTGCAAAAGTACTATCTCTGTGGTCGTTAATAATCTACTTTACAATACAACTAATTGAATGTTATTACTTGAGCTCCAAAATGGTAGTTTAATATAAGTGTACCTTATCATTTAAATTTTAGTTTTATGTTAAGTGTTTAAAACTTTTATATTAAAAAAAAACATACTCACTCAGTTTTATCTTAAGATATGGTAATTAGAAAATTCAATTACCTTATTTGTTGAATACTTTTAGTTTATTATACTTATATAGGGAAAGGTATCGTATATTCAGGTTCTTTCTCCCTTCTTTTATTGCTTGCTAGTCCAAGTAAAAAGTAGAACCTTACATATGAGATCCTCTTGTATTCAGACCAGTATGATATATAATAAATGTAACTATCAACATTTACAGATTTGATAAATTGCTACAATTTTTGGAATAATCAAATATTGCCATTAGATCATGAAAAATGGTTGCTATCTTTTAATTAGAATAAAAATTTTATTTTCATTAGAATAGAAATTTTATTTGTTAAAAATATTAATGCACTAAACAGTTGTTCAGCATTTGATGAGAATGCAATTTTGCATACATTCATTTTCTTAATTATTATTTAATTTGCCAATTTCATGCATATATGGTATGCTGCAGAGTGTTGCCATGTTGCCATAGAAGTTATGCAAATTGCAAAAAAATTGGCAGTGAAGAATTTTCTGTTATCAGATAAGAAGACAAAGAATTGAGACAGAGAAATAAAGAATTGTTATACCGTAATTTCCGGAAGAAAGGCCGCATCAGCGTAAACGCCGCACTCGAGAAAAATGGCGGGGAAAAAATTAAAATTACACAGAAACACCGCATCAGCGTAAACGCCGCAGTAGATTAAATTGCGCGCGACATCGTCGTGGGCCGTATAGATGCGAAAACTCAACCTAAGTCCTGATATATGACATACCAGTTAAGAAAAATGCATGAAATGAAACCATAACTCAAAAAATAAATTAAAGGTAAGAAATGTTTAGCTTCTGTGCCGTTTAGAGACATTTTCAAAAATATTCCGCTCCCTTCTTACTTAAAAACTATCCAACTACTTGTACCCAAACTGATGGATCTGTATTTGGCAGAATGCCAAGATAAATCCATTCATGCTGAAGGGGAAATACGTCAGAGTTCCAGAGTTCGTTATTGGGAGGCAGGTGAAGTCGTGTCCGCCTTTGAAAAAAATTGCAGAGGGAGAGGATGGGTCCTGGAAGATTCATCGAATGGCAGAGGAGAGAGACTAAAACTGATGAGAATGTTGATTTGAAAGGGGGAAGAATGTTATTGTTCTGAGATCTCGTTTAGGGTGAATAAGGCATGTAGGTCCGTTCAAGGGAAAGAATGTAAACAAAATAACGTTCGCAAAAAGCAACTGAGTGGGAACAGCACCAGTCTATGCACAATGACAAGGCCATCCAAACTATGTACAATGACCATCATAGGAAATATTTTATTTTTAGTGCACCTAAACGCCGCACCCGCTGAAAATTTAAGTTTTAAACACGTAAACGGCGCGGCGTTTCTTCCGGAAATTACGGTAATCTTATCACCAGCCAACTGTGAATGTAGTGATAATGAAGAAAAAGTACCTTTAAATTATAAGACATTCAGCAAATTGTTTAAAAAAAAAAAAAAAAAAAAAAAGGTACAGGAAAATTTGACAATGGAGTTTGATCCAGATGAAGAAAGAAGAGGTTACTTTGTTAGAGGCATTCAAAAATTCTGCCATCCATACTGTAAAACTTTTACTTACTCATTAAGTGACGAAAGGATTTTTATGCTCTCTCTCTCTCTCTCTCTCTATATATATATATCCATTGCCAGCCTTCATCTGGCTTTTAAATGTACAAGAGAAATGGCTGAAGGGAACACCAAACATTACATTTAAAAACTGCGTAGAATTTTACTCAGCAGAACAACTTCATAAAACAAAAAGTTATTATGTATAACAAAATTGCAGTGAAATAAGCAATATCCCTTAATACAAATATTAATTATCCTAATAAATAAATTAACGAACTTCCCTTTGCAAAATCTTAAGAACTCAAATGGTATAAAGGAGGTTAAGATCTTTGTTTCCTAAAAAAATCAACTCAAAACTTTTCAATATCTTAAAAACAGTGAAATGAGCAATAAATAACATAAAAAAATTCTGAAAAGCAAAGTATAATTAATGATATTGTATCTTATATTTTCAAGAGAAAAAAATACAATGAAATAAGCTATATCCCTTAATACAAATATTAATTGTCCTAATAAAAAAATTAACCAACTTTCTGTTGAAGAAAAAAAAATCATGCAAAACTTTTCAATATGTTACAAACAGTGAAATAAGCAAAAAAATAACGTGAAAGCAACTGAAAAAACATAAAATTAAGCGCAGAAGTTTATTCTGCAGAACAACTGTATCAAAAAAAAAAAAAAAAAAAAAAAAAAAAAACAATGAACATGATTATATATAAATGACAGTGAAATATGCCAATCTCTTAGAAACAGTGACATCAGAAATATGATGAAAAATTGTTGCCAAACCCATATTTCTAAAAGAATGAAACTATTCAAAATGATGCGATTTCATCAAAAATCTATCAACAACAATAAGACAGGAAATTGTTGCCAAAATCACATTTTTAAAGATGTGAGAAGTGTACTCAGTAGCTTCATTTAAAAAATTTTTTAAAAATACAAAATATTATCATTTTTCCAAAATTCTTTTTGCAAAAGTAGTCACAAAGATGAAAGTTTAAAGTGTCCAAAAATCAAAAATAAATAAATAAATAAACCGTACATTTTTTTAAGTAAACTTTTTTAGAAAAAATATCGTTGAAAAGGCGTTAAGCTCCCTTTGTTAAATAAATTCGTATTTAATTGATTTGTTGAAACACGAAATTTATTTTAAGTTCGTAAAATAGCTAAGTACCTACGTTTCATGACGATGTGAAAATGGAGTGTGTAGAGTAAAATCTTGCTTTCCTTTTGCCCATTATGTCTCAAAATGATGCGATTCTGTCACAAAACATAAAATTAAAAAATTCTAATTTGAATTTCGAAAAAATCGCTTTGAAGTACACTGGCTCTTGTCAATATGCACCTATGTAGCAAATTTCGTAGCCATGTGTCTATTAGCTTACGCGCAGCACGAACGAAAGAGACACACACCTGACACACAGACAGACTCTTTCTTTTATTATATGTAGATATATATATAGTAGGTAGAAACATTGCAGCGATCTTGCTAAAAGTTACCAGGAGCTGTAGCTCCACGAAATAGTTCAACGCTGTATTACTAAAATTTGAACTAAGAAGAATTTTTTAAAAAACTTATCTGGAAAAACTGGAAAAAAAAAACTGTAAACACGCAAAAAAACCCGTTAAAATTAATGTTGGAAGACATGCGAATGCACGAAAAAATATCTGACCGTTGTGATATGTGAAAAGTTAATACATATATAAAATATATTGACGGAAAAAATATATATGAAAAGTTAATACACATAAAAAATAGATTGATGGAAAAAAAATATACCAAAACATAAAATGCAAGAATTATAATGAAAACATAAATTGCTAAAATACAAAAATACAATAATTAAAAACCGGAAAATGGTAAATTAACCCACTCGCACCCTCTGCCAGGCTTTTCAAGGGAAAAATGCCTGAGTGTGCGAACTAGGCCAAATACCATTACGCGTTTCGCCGAAACAGACCATTGAAGCTCTTGTTTGATGCGAAAAAATTTTTTTTATAAAACATGAATAGTCCCGAATAAATCTTTTTTGGAGCTTCACTGCTCTGTTCCTTTTTCCCGACGCGTCCGCTGAAAAACACATTAGGGTGTTAAGAATAAAATTGCAACTCCAAGCAACGTAAAATTAAAAACAAAATAAAATAAATAGCGGTCTGCTATTAGTCAAAAAATTACAACAACATACAGGCTGGTCCTGCACAGCCTAAAGAAGATAGAACTTTTATAAAGAGAATGGTGCTGTAGTCAAATTAAGATGCAATTAAATTTGCTAGAAAACAAATGTCGTTGGGTCTTATTAGGACCAAAAAAACACAGACAAAAGAAACGAAAAAAGTGAGCTGTGAGGGTGCCGTCCTTAGCATCGCGAAAAAATTTGAAAAGGGTGCAAATCCCCTCCGTGTTCTGCCAACCTTCCTTCTTGTCATGTGACGTAGGTGGGAGAAACAATTAAAACTGCATAGGCCAGTGGGCTGAGATTGTAGTTTTGGCGGGAACTCCTGTTCCCCCCTTTTTTATAGAGGGTGTGACAGACGTGAAAAGACACGGAAAGAACTCAAAATGGCGTCGGTCAAGTTGTTAGAAGAAGAAAACTGCTACAAATAAGTGAAAATGGCTAATTCAGCTAAAATTACTTATTTTTGGCCACAAAAGAAAGAGTAAATTGGAAAAAAGTCATTTGTTAATAAAAGTCGTCATTCTTCAAGCTAGAGGGCGGTCAAGCTACTATGAAAAATGAAAAGGCCCGATTTGTTAATAATAGTAGAATTTGGCCATCTAAGTAATTTAAAACTATTAAAACAATAGTATTAAAGTATAGTGCCAAAATCTTTGGAGGAAAGAAAATGTATTTACGAGAATAATCTGTACATTTATACAATTTTTACATTAGATTATCTGAATCAGCCATCCACTTTATACCGTCCCATTGGGAAAAATGGGAAATTTCATTATCCAAAAAAATTCCATAAAATTTCATTATCCAAAACAAATTTATCTAAATATTGGTAAGGCTAATGCCAGCTTTTTTTTTTAAGGTATTTTTAATTATTTTATGAGGAATTTGGTTATTTTTCCAAAATTGTGACGAAGTAAAGTATTTCTTCTTGTAAGTGTTCTGTAGTATTACATATTCTTTTTATTCTAAGTAGCTGTGAAAAAATTGTGTTAATGATGATTCTTTTGGAAATATTAGAATTCCAGTTGTTAACTTTAGTGTAGAAAAAGTGAATTCTCTCCTCTTGTCATAGACTTTAATAAAATTGTAATCAGTAATATTTAGGTAAAGGTATGCTACATTATTTTGCACCATATTTGTATTATTTAGTTTTAAGCAAGTTGGGTAGTATATATATATAAAATTGTTTTTAATTTATACCATACGTAGCAAATTTTTTAATGTAAACTTTACGGAACATAATTTTCCAATACATGCAATATATTATATTATTGACAGAAACCCAACATTTTGTAAGAATTTACTGTACATAAATTATCAAATCACATGTATTAAAAAATGAAGAAACCTTTAAAAAATAATTTGCTATAATGTACATAAAAACTAAATGTAAAAAAAGTAAATACCATTGAGATATTTTTTAGTGTGCAAAGCACCAAATGAAATACACATTATTACTTATGTTGATACATAATTATTTATCTAGATGAGAATTCTAATAATCTGATTATTATTAAGAAATAAAAATTTTGAGTGCTACCATGGCTATACTTTTAAGAATATCTTCTTTATGCAAATGATAGTAATATATTGAACACAGAAGTTCATAAATGGTTTTTGAATAAAGATTTTTGGTTCCAAAGGTGCTGTACATACCATGGTTTGAGAACTACTGAATTGGAGGATTGAATTATTTATGTAAAATAATATGAATTATAAAACATAAATAGAACTGTACATCAAAATATAATCAATAGTGCATGTTATTAATTTTTCCCCTGAATATTCTTTCATTAAAGTAGTTATGTAAAATCCTTATCTATTTTAATATTAAAATAAGCAGGAATCAATCTCTCAGAAGTTATGTTAGTTTATTATTATGAGACCTTTTGTATTTGCTATCATGCTTTGACATGATCTTAACCTATACATTTAAGGCCCGTCTACATGAAGCGATTTTCTCGGCCGACTTTCTCGTAAAGCAACAATTTTAAAGATCTGCACACGCGCCAAAAATTTCAGAACTGGTCTTCACTGCTCACTAGCGTACGATAAAGTCGGAGTCTCTAGCCAATAAGATCGCTTTGAGTGATCATGTGCTTTTCTCCTCATTTGGAATAATAAACATGGCTGCATTTTGTTGGAGCGAAACTCAAATTTTCCAACTAATACATTTCAATAGAGAAAATGTTATGTTGTTGGACACAAGTAATGTAAATTTTAAAAATAAAAAATTAAGGGATTATTTTATTTTGGTAAGCTTAGTCTTCCCCATTACTTTATATATTCAAATATTTTGCCATGTCATGGGTACTAGATGAAAATATTCAGAAACTACTTGAAACTGTGGTCGCACTTATTGACAAAATTCAAAAAACAAATTCTCCAGTCGAGAAATTACGGGCCGATTTAAAGTAGCGCAAAGACTCATTAACTTAACCCCCAAAAATGGGACTTAATCAGGTGACAAAGTACATAGCTTTTCCGACACGGCCTACAGGAGCAGCGATCATAGCCCAGTGGTAAAGAGTTGAGCAGGTTTTCTCCGTACATCGAGGTCATGGGTTCGATCCCCCACCTTGCATTTGGACTTTTTCAGCCTGCAAGGACTTTTTAATTTCGTTTCTCCATCACTAAATTCGAACTGCATAACTTAAAAGTCACTTTTTATTTTTTGCCTTCGGGTGTGGTGTTTATTGAATTTTAACGCCTTTCTTTTTATTCTTCGAAGGGCCGTTGGCACGTGTTTTTGATCTACTGTGAAAACTTTAGTAGTTCTGTACCAGCTCAAAAGAAACTCACTCAAAAGCTAATTTGCTAAAATTTATTAGCTGATTAACTGATAGAGTCATATGATTATAGTTTTCAGACTGTATTATTTATTTAATTAGGCTGATATTAATTTTCTAATGTTCAATAAATATACTACTTAAGACTTTGCACCTTTATGATATTTCTTATTTGAAATTTTTACACTGAAATTACACTGTTGCTTTGTAATGTAGTAATCTTTATTCTTTATTACTACTTTTTACTCATACTGGTTTGATATTCATGACATTATCGTCTATTTATTATTTAATAAATATTTTGATTTAAAGCACAGTAGGTACATATTTTTTCTGAAACATGGTTATTTTATTATTTCAAGATTTAAGTGCACAAATAGGAGTGCCAGAAAATGAAATTTAAAAATAAATAAATAAAATAAAAAAGGAGTAATTTGTGTACTCATTACACAAAGGAAAAGCATATTTTTTAAAAAAATTTTGCTGCAAACTAAATTTAGCAAAAAATCAAAATCATGCGGCATCATCTGTAAATACTTTTCGAATTGTACCGTGTCTTCAATACGCAACTCCCGGAACAGACACCATGAATTTCTTGTCGTTTGACCCGATTTCTGGTCCAAACGCATTTTCTTTTTTTTTTCTCCCTTCTGTAGCAGTAGCTAAGTTCAAAATTGTAGCTGTATCTATAGTAGCAGTTTAAAATAGTCATCCATTATTTTGACTATTTGACAACACCGTAAGCTTTGTTTACAAATTGTAAACAGTGTGACGCTGTAGAGGACGGGAACACTTCCTTTCAGTGATTGGCTTAGTAAATTCCTGTACTAACGAGAAAATCGTTCCGTGTGGACAGGCGAGCTATGTCAGATATTGTCAGCCAGCTAAGTCAGCCGAGAAAATCGCTACGTGTAGACAGGCCTTTACTCTTTTATACCTCCTGGAACTTGGATAAAAGTTTTTCATATGTAAAGAATGTGAATTTTAATATGTGCATTGTTTTTCATATTGTGAAAATATATCTCCATTCTTAAAATCTGCAGACTATTGCTTACATTAAAATGAATTATTTTATTTATAGATAATATCATTAAACATCAATGATCCGCAAAGTTGTTGGAAGGCATTCAAGTCAAATACAAGAATAGGACTTATTATATTTTTAGGAATAACTGGCAGTAGTTTGGCAAAAAAGCATGTTGACTTCAAAATGAAGAAAAGTAATTTAATACAGCAAGAATCTTTTCTACCAGAATCAGAGATTACTTTGAACAAGGCTTTTTCATGATATGTTTTATGTAATGTATATATAATGGATTGTTTTAATTATGAAATTAAGATATAGTCACAATTAATTTATTAAATTCATTACCAAATGAATTGTTTCAAATTTTAGTGTGATGTACATAACGTTTTGAGTAATTGTTCATTTTCCATGTTATATCTGTCCAAAAGAATTTTAATATTCATCTGTCCTGTAATAGAATATCAGATAGAAAAAGTAAAATTGGCTTAATACATATAGCGAAAGAGATGATTCAGATTTAATTAAAATTAACAGCATTTCTCATATTTTTCATATCTCTGCATTATATTTTACAAAAACTTTAAAGAAGCATTACATACTTTAAAATGATTTGGAATATATTTCGTATGACGGTGCTTTTAGTACGTGTTCTGAAAGCACTGTAACTCTGATTTATCAAAATTTTTTTAAGAAGAAATATTCTTAAATGTAGTTAAGACACAATAACACACCGAACAAATACTAATTCAGAAGTCAAACAAAAAAATCAGCGTTATATTTCAAATTTGAAAATATAACACTGATTTTTGTTGTTTGACTTCTGAATTAGTATTCTTAAATGTGTCTGAATGCTTAATTTTTTCTTGTACTTAAGTTAATTCTGCATTCTATCACCCCACCTCCCCAAAAATATCTCAAAAGAAGATAACTACTGCTAAAACTTAAAGAAACTGATGCCATCAGGAATGGAGCTTGTGGCTTAATTTGACTCAGCATATGAAATCTTGTCCAAATTAGACACAGGGAGGATTTTTTCAGTAATGTCATATAATCGTTCTTTGTTGGTGGAGTGACTTGCTGCATTAATTCCAATAATAAATGAGACTGCCTAATAAAAAGACATTCTAATACTTAATCAGATATTCTTGGCACAAGCATTTAGTTGCACAAAACAGCAGTAACAGGTCTGTGATACTATGTCCTGGACTTTCCACATACACTACATTGAAAGAATCAATCAATGTGTGTTTAGCGTTTTACACTGATTGAACTGATGATTTGAAGTCCAGAAATTTTTAAAACCTAGAATTAGCAAGATCTCAATGATTCTGGAGTTTATACTGTATTAGTTTTACCATGTGTTTAGAAGAAAGATATTGGTCTGTATGCTAATTTTTGCAATTTTTATTTTTATTTTTATTTTTTTTTTTTTTTTTTTTGTGTGTGTGTGTGTGTCTGAACTATTCAATAAATCCCATAATAAACTTTACCTTTTATTTGTCCTTGTGTAGTAGATATAGTATTTCTAAAATTTCTTTGAATCCTGAAGCAGCTATGATACATTTGGCAGATATAATCTTTTGGATTGTTACATCTGTTTGGAATTTAACAATCATTTGCGGATGTCACACCTATTGATTCAGCAATGGCAGGACAATCATTAAAAATGCATTAGTATTTCCAGACTTATTATTATGATAGGACAATTATTAAAAATTTATTTAGCATTGCCAGAAATGTTCTTCTTTTCTATGATCTGAAATGTCATCACTTCTATCATATGGCTCAAAATTATAGTTTCCCCCCCTCCCCATTGTGTGCATGTGGAGGGAGGGAGGAATTTTTAATATGTTCATTAAACATTTTCTCACAAAATTACTGTGTGTAAAGATCTTGATAATGACCTAGATGTACTGAAATTCAGTTCAGTGTCATTTTTAGATTACAGTCAAAAGTCATTAATTCGGACACCCATAATCCGGACCTCAAAGTTAAAACTTTCTGCGCATGCGCCTCGTTGACACATGCGCATAGGCGTTTACGCATGCGTGATACTAAAGCAAAGTTTAAAGTTTAAAGAAATTAAACATTTAGCAGTAGTAGCAATGAAAGCTCCCTGAGATATGTTGTGCAGACATTGAAGACAATAAAAAGATTTTGAACTTAACCAATTTATTAACAAATATAATAAAGAATAAAAACACAGAAAATAAATGTCAACAATATTAAAGTCTTAGAAAAAATATAATATAATCATCATTCATCAAACATATTTTTACCTAGTCTCCAAAACACTGGCATTCTATACAAACAAAATGTCCTAAACATTAATTATGCGGCCTAAAAATGAAGCTGGCTACCCAGTCAATAAGTCCCATAATCAATGGTCAAGAAAAACACCTGAAAATTTAAATGAAGTTCTTGAAAACACTTAAAACCGACCTAACTCCGTTTGCACAAGGAATCGCCGTTCACGTATTTTTAATTCCGCCTTCATTGAAGAACATGGATGTCACCCACGGCAGTCACTCGAATGGTAGCCTCTGGAACCAAAGAACTTTATTCTGGAACCGTCATCTCGCAAACCGGAATCAAGGCATTTTTATTCACCGGACTGCATGCATCCTTTTCAAGGGGCTGGAAACCGCTCACTCACTTGCCGGGAAACCAGGAACTAGAAGGGTTGAGCCATGAATTGGTATGAATTGAGGTAACTATGAGTATTTAGTCCTGAGGACTTTTACTCAGAAATTATTTACCCTGCGGGGTACGTCTTAGTGAGAAGAAAATCCACTTTATTTTAAGTGGAAAGTTTCTGGTGAAAACATCGTCGCATGGGTGTCGCCATCTATTGGAACATCAGGAAGTAATAAGAAGTAAATTTTGAACTTAGTTTTCATCTTCTGCGAAATCAAGAGCAGTCTTCACCGCTAAGAAAGCGATAGAAAGTTTTTCTGTATTGGATTTAGCGGATTTAATATTAACTGCAATATTGTTCATATCTTGAATGAATTTGAAAACTTTAGGATTTGAAAAAACTTGGGATATTGGATTATCATTATCTGCTGGGATCTTCTGCTGCTTAAAGACGGCGCTGAATAGGATGTTTCTTTAATTTCAGTTTCAGATTTAGTTGCGAGCGCTGGGAAATCTTTAAGGTTTGGAATCTCTTGGGTTTTCTCTGCTGGTTTAGGAGTTTGAAATCGCTTTTTATAAATCGGGCAACCACGGTAAGACGATACATGCTCCCCACGGCAAAAATAGCAGATGGGTTTTTCTTCACGTTTTAAAGAGCAGGTATCAGATCTGTGATTCTGGGAACATTTACAACATATTTCTTTTTTATAACAATTCGACTGTGAATGTCCATAGCTCTGACACTTGAAACATTGAATTGGTCTTTTAGTTTTAGGTGCATATTTCTCAAAAGTGATATTGAAGTTAAACATATTATTTAGGTTGTAAATCGCTTCTCCTAATTTATTCCTTTCAAGTTCAATGAAATAAATGGGTAATTTTATGAAATCATTTTCTATTCTCTTTGCGAACTGCTTAACTTTTAGTACTGGGAATTTTCTAAGTTTTAGGTCTTCAAATATTGCAGTTTCTGAGATTCGGGCATATTTTTTAGAATAACTTTAATGTTATTTTGGAATAAAGTTGATACGTTGGAATCTATGCAAGATTTCTTTAGAAATTCGATGGCGCTGTTGTAATCCTCTTCGATGGAAGTATTTAAATAAACTTTTTTGAGGGTTGAGCCAGAGCGACGCAAGATACTTATAGCAGAAGTAGGAATGACGTCATCTCACGGCAACCAATCAGCTATCGGCACGAATCGGCTTTTCAGATGACGTAACATCATGTTTCGTTTTTGCATCTCAATTAGGTTGAAACAGTCCGTTCTCAATGCAAACAGTGGCAGCAAGAAAAAGAAGTAGAAGTAACTACTATATTACATTAAAATAAGGACTAAACCAAATAAACATTTCAAGGAGGAGAGATGATGCAGTAAAAAATTTAAAAATAAGCTATATTTTCCAACAAATGCCCCCCACATCATCATCTCCGACCTGAAATAAAAACCGAATGCCAGTATCTTTACAAAATTCAAAACAAGAATAAATAAATATCACAATTTCATTCAGAAATTTTTCTTTAGGAAAATCTTATCCCATTATTCAAAAATTTTACCGTAGCAAGAATGTCCAACATGTTACAGAACAATACAAAGACATATATGATCACACGCTCAATACTTTTACCCAGGGCCCTGGTCACTCATACAACATTCTATACTATACAATTTTACATTTACCTAATATCCATCATAATATGACTTATAACATATTAGTTTCAAATTAAACAAAACTCTTAATTTAAATACACACAAAAACAAATTTCATAAGAAAATTGTTCCACAAAATCTTATCAGGTTATGCTTAGTCAGCGGTTTTGTCATGGTATCAGCCAGATTATCTTTACTTGGAACACATTTTAAATAAAAAATTTCCCTGTTCAATAGATCACGAATGAAAAATAGTTTCACATCTATATGTTTTGTCCTTGAGTTTTCAATGGGTGATTTTGTAAAACATATAGCAGCCATATTATCAGCAAACAATATTGGCCTCGAAACATAGTTACTTGCAATCTTAAACTGAATGCATTCATCCAAAATGTTTTTAAACCAAACTAATTCTTTTGCTGATTCAGTCATGGAGATAAATTCAGCCTCCATAGTAGATAAACTCACTCCCCTTTCTTTAAATGTACGCCAAGATACAGGTGATTCTCCCAACAAAGCTATTTGTCCACCAATAGACACCATATCATCCCTGCTTGAAGCAAAATCCGAATCTGAATATATATTGAGCTTCAGTTCCTTGCATACCAGTTTGAGTTTGTGCTGTCTGGTATTGGAAACGTACCCTAAAAGTTTAAGTAATCCTTCCCAGTGAAACTTACCAGGATTGCTTTGGAACTGAGAAAATATATTAACAGCATAAGCTATATCCGGACGAGTACGATTGCAAAGAAACGAGAGACATCCCAAAACATTTCTATAAGGATAATTCATCATTTCAGTCGTTTTTCTTCTTGTGTACTGGGACTTTGAGACTTTATTTCACACCTTTAACTATTGGAAGGGAAGTAATTTGTATTTTAAAAGACTTAAATCGATCAACTATGTCTTCTATATATAATTGCTGATGAATTAAAACACTATTGTTCTCATATTCAAACTCCACACCCAGAAGCTTTCTTGTTTTTTACCTAAAATTTTCAAATCAAAATGTGAACTCAGGACTTTTAATATCCTTTTGGCCTGAACTTCACTTTTCCCAAACACAACTATATCATCAACATAAACCAACAGAATGACAAAATCTTTAAAACGATAGACACAATAACACAATTACACCACTCAAACTTGATAAACCCTAGGTTACATAGTGTTCTATCCAACTCGTAGTACCATAACCCACTCTGATGCAAACCA